ATTCACTATTAATAGTACGTATGCTAGCGCAGTTGCGACAAATTGAACTGGACACCAACGTTCGAGAAGTATTTGATGCGCCCTCCCTTTCTACATTAGCAGAGACCATCGGCCATCATAAGACGATCATCACCCCGCCCAATCTCATTACCACAAACAGTACCACGATTACTCCGGAAATGTTGCCGCTAATAGATCTATCTCAGGCGGAGATTAATACGATTGTCGCAAAGGTTCCGGAAGGTGTGGCCAATATTCAAGATATTTACGCATTAGCTCCTTTACAGCAAGGCATATTATTCCATCATATGATGGCTGAGCACGGTGATCCGTATTTGCTGGTCACTTGTTTACACTTTAACGACCGAGCAGTTCTTGATCGCTACGCGGCCGCTTTGCAACAAATAATTGAACGACATGATATTCTGCGAACCGCCTTCATATGGGAAGGACTTAGTGAACCGGTACAAGTTGTCTTACGTCGCGTTCCATCATTACTCTCCGAAGTCACGCTTAATGGTACCCATGAGCCCGTACTGAAAGAATTAAGCAACCGCTTCAACCCGCGTCACTACAAACTAGACCTGACCCAAGCACCGCTACTACGTCTAATAGCTACGCCAATGTCTGATGGAGGTTGGTTGGCTTTGAAACTTATACACCACGTAACTTTTGACTATGTTACTGTAGAGAGACTGGAATCCGAAATTAAGTTCGTAATCAATGAACAATATGATCAGCTGACAACGCCCACACCTTTCCGCAATGTAGTGGCCCAGGCCCGTTTGGGTATTAGTCAATCTGAGCATACCAAGTTCTTCAAAGAAATGCTTGGCGACATTGACACACCGACCCTACCGTTTGGTCTAAGTAACGTTCAACAAGACAGAATCGATTTTGATGAAGCGTATTTTAAGCTGTCACAGGAACTTAATAATAAGTTACGGTTTCTTGCACGTCATTTCCGTGTCAGCTTGGCCAGCCTTTGCCATTTGGCCTGGGCACAAGTACTTGCTATTGCCAGCGGAAATGAGACAGTGGTCTTCGGCACTGTATTACTCGGCCGTTTGCAGTCCGGAGAAGGGAACGATAGTGCCATGGGTATGTTAATTAATACGTTACCATTGCGAATAAATATCGATAAGATGACTGTCGAGGCTGCAGCTCGCAATACACATACTAGGTTGAGTTCTTTGATGGAACACGAACATGCAACACTTGCCTTGGCGCAAAGGTGTAGTGGAGTTCCAGCTACTCTACCACTTTTCAGTTCGTTGTTGAACTACCGCCATAAACAGCAAACCAATCAGATCAATGCAACGATTCCTGGCATAAGTATTCTCAGTAGTGAGGGACGAACAAATTATCCATTGAACTTGTCAGTGGATGACGATGACAACTCGCTGAATCTTACAATTAAGGTGGTGTCGCCATTATCAGCAGGGCGAATCTGTGCCTATATGCAACAGGCCCTCGGAGCGCTTGCAGATGCATTAATGCAAACACCACAGCAATCTGTACGAACATTGACAGTGATACCACCAGCAGAACGGAAGATGCTGTTGTATGACTGGAATAAAACGACTATAGATTATCCACCTGTTCGTTGCCTTCACGAGTTATTCGAGGCGCAAGTGGAGCGCGATGGACAAGCAATTGCTGTCGAATGTGAAGGAGAAACATTGAGCTATTCGGAATTAAATGCACGGGCAAATCAGCTGGCACATTACCTGATCGCACAAGGCGTCAATCCAGAAGATCGTATTGCACTTTGCGTAAAGCGCAGCACAAAAATGATTATTGCCCTTCTGGGTATTTTAAAATCCGGCGGTGCTTATGTACCTCTTGATCCAGCCCACTCAAGTCGAAGGTTTCAAATTATTCTGCAGGAAACCGAACCAATATGTGTGTTAACAGATTCTACTGGTCAAAGTGCACTTGGAGACCATCAGTTTCCAGTAGTGGATTTGGACAACACCTCGCTTTTCGCCTTTCCGATCGAAAACCCAGATCCACTCAAGCTGGGACTCACTCCTACTCATTTGGCTTATGTGATCTACACCTCTGGCACAACTGGAACACCGAAAGGGATTTTGGTTGAACATCA